TGTAGTTTAAAAAGTCGTGCGAAAAGGATCTTCGTAATGCGCAGGCTATCTGAGTCTGACGAATCTCCATAATACTCGACCTGTGACGATCGCATAAACACCAAAATGCGTCTTTTATAATTCAAAGGGAAAGAAAAGCTGCAAATAAAAATATGACATAAAGTGCGGTTTCTGTTTTCGTCCAATATATTAATTTTCCCAGCATAGCCTTTTTATAAAAAGTCTATAACACTTAACTTTGTTCCTGCACTCTTTTCTATAAAATCGCCCCTGAAAGAACTGTTTCAGTCTAGTTCATTTCGTTTCATTTATTATACCCTCAGGGCCCGAAGGCATTACAGAGGGGGAGAGCAACAAGAAGGTTAATGCAAATAACATAATACATATTTAGACACACTCAGTAATAAAGTAATTAGTTATTGTACTTTTAAAGAGCTCAGAGTCCGTGATAATGGCGATCGACCGGGAAAGGTGGTTCCACTCCTGGGATGTACGGGGAACGAAAGATGAATAAAACGTGGTTGTGATAGAGTTAGAAATGCCTACCTTATGTTGATGATCAAGACGGGAGGAAACATAGACAGGCCGAGCAATTATTTTGTCGCGCAGGAAAGAATTATGGTGATACATTTTATGGAATAGGGAAAGACGAGAAATTTTACGACGTAGGGATAAAGGGGGTAATGAGAACGTTGTTTTCATAGAGGTGACGCTAGCGGTGCGGTGATAGTTTTTGAGGATGAAACGAGCGGATCTGTTCTGAACGGCTTCCAATGTAGATACGAGAGTGGCTAGTCCGGGATCCCAGACAGAAGCTGGATATTCTAACTTGGGACGAATTAAAACTTTGTAAAGAGTTAATTTCAGTGACACAGGGGCTAATGAAAAATTTCGCTTGATGTAACCTAACATGCGGTTAGCGTTAGCTGAAATATGCTGAATATGTGTTTTCCATGAAAGGTTAGAAGCTATATGTACGCCTAAATATTTGTACGAAGATACCGGTTCTAGGTGAGCATTATTAAGGAAATAGTTAGGGCAGTCCTGAGACTGGCGAGACACACGCATGACCTTGCATTTGTTAGTGTTAAGCTTCATAGACCACGAGTCAGACCAACGGTAAATAGCATTAATGTCTGGTTGGAGTATACAGGTGTCATTATGATTGAGAATCTCACGGTAGAGTACACAGTCGTCAGCGAACAGAGACACGGACGAAGAGACACTAGTGGGTAGGTCGTTAATATAAATTAAAAATAGCAACGGCCCTAAGACTGTCCCTTGCGGAACCCCTGACGCAACTTTGACAAAAGAGGAGTTATTGTTATTCACAGTGACAAATTGAGACCGTTGAGTTAAAAAAAGACTGTATCCATGCGAGAACGTTATTGTCTATGTTAAGTTTGGAAAGTTTTAGAAGCAGAAGATTGTGAGAAACTTTGTCAAATGCTTTAGCGAAATCCAGGAAAATGCAGTCCGCCTGGGATCCTCGGTCCAGAATGTGATGTAGGTCATTCGTGAAAGATAGTAGTTGGGTCTCACATGAAAATGCTTTTCGAAAACCGTGTTGGGCATTGTTGAAGAAGTTGTTAAATTCAAAGAAGTTGACGAGGTGAGAAAAAATGATATGTTCAAGAAGTTTGCAAGGAATGCTGGTTATTGAGATCGGACGATAATTAAGAGGGGAATGTTTATCTCCAGCCTTGTGAATGGGTACTACCTTCCCTACCTTCCAGTCTGATGGGAGAACAGCGTCTTGTATAGATTGTTCAAATAATTTTGTTAAAATAATTGAGGAGTATTGTTTAGTGTTTTGTAAAAACTTGGAATTAATGTCGTCCACTCCTGCTGAAGATGACAGTTTGAGTTTATCTATGATACGACCGACACCAACGTAATCAAGAAAAAGAGGATCCATGGGCAAGTAATCGGCACTCTCTAGCGAAGGGAAATCGTGCATGTTATCAGTAGAGAATAAATTTGGAAAAGTACTATTTAATAAATTTAAACACTCATCGCTGGCTATACAATCCCCATTTGCGGTTTTTAGTGTGATAGATGACTGCGTCTTTTTGTTTATTGTGTTCCAGAATTGTCTAGGATTGTTGATCAACATTGCGGGTAGGCTATGAGTCATGAATTCTAGTTTGGCATTTTCAATTGCTTTTTTGTACACTTCAGCAGCAGTACGATAACGCAACCAACGGTGCTCGCACGTGGAAAATTTTGCGGCGCGAAATAGACGCTTTTTTTGTTTGATGAGCGTTTTAAGGCTCTGGTGAACCAGGGTGACTGAGAGTTTTCGATAACTCTCCTTAAGGGAATGTACTGATTTGTTAGTTTATTAACTTCGGTTTTGAAAAAGTTCCAGTTTTCTTCTACTGAGCGACTTGAGAAGAGTGATAAATATTCATCGAGGAAAGTTGCAAGGTCAAGATTAATTTTATCAAAGTTAGCTTTGGCGTAATCTCGAATTTGCTTTACATTAGTTGATGGTTTTGGTACTGCTGCTTTTACATTAAAATGCAATATGGAATGATCACTAAGCCCTGGAAGATAGGAGATGGGTGAAACGAGTTCAGGATGAGTAGCGAGAACAAGGTCTAATACGTTCGCCGTCAATGGGGTCACTCTGGTTGGTTGAGTAACTAATTGCGTGAAACAAAAATCTATACAAATTCTAACAAGATCATTGCATTCAGATGAGGCAGATGAGGGTGTGCCTGTTGGTGGGTTATTGCCTGTCCACACAATATCAGAATAATTAAAATCTCCCAACAGAAAAATTGGCGAACTGGGAAAGCGAATGACGACCAGATTTATGGAGTCCTGCAAAGCTTTAATGAAAGATGATGAGCACGAGGGCGGCCTATAGCAAACTCCCATGATCCACTTCATGTGATTAGTACCAAGACATACCCAAACTATTTCTAAATCACTAGCTATGTTTAAACAAAAACAATCAATATGACTTGCAATGGCAACTAAAACGCCCCCACCGCACCTATCTTGCCGATCGTTCCTGTAAATATTGTACTTTTTAGGTCCATAAAAAAGTTCGCAATCACGCACCCTCCCAGTGAGCCAAGTTTCCGTTAAAACAACCACATCAGCAGCTGTTGAATCCACAATAGAACACAAGTCGTCTCGTTTTTTAATGAGGCTTCTAATATTTGTAAAAGGTACCGATACATAAGAGACAGGTGAAAGAGACACTCTACCCTTCGCGGCCTGTTATTGCGATGTTGATGGCTGAGATGAGTCATTAGCAGGCAGGGAATTATGTGTGACAGTAACAACCGGCGTAGTAGAGGGACCAGCCTCGTACACATTTTCGGTGGTGAGATCAAAAGCATAGCATTTATTGTTAATGTGAATTCTGTTATGTCGAAGCTTAAAAGTGCAACCTTTTTCTTTCGCGAAATCGATTAGTTTTTTTCGTGCGATACGTGTCCCAATTGAGTAGTCTTCGCTTACTGTTATGCATTTTGCTTTCAGGGGGGCCCTTGAGAGAAGAACGTTGTCTTTCAACTTGTAGGACCCGAATTTTACGATGACTGGGCGGCATTTGTTCTGACAAAACGTGCCGATTCTATGGGCACGAACAATAGCTTCGTCCGATACTTGTAGATTAAGCGACTGTCGAAATATGTTCAGAATTGTTTGTTCTGTCTGCGCCCATGTTTCTGATATTGTGTCGGCCATCCCGAAAAAAACCAAATTATCATGGCGTGAATGATCTTCAGCATCATCTAGGCGTGTTCTTAGGACTATGTTCTCTTTCTGCACTTCTTCCGCCAAGCTTCGCGCTATGGTTACTTCAATCTGAAGATTAGGGACTGCAGCAGTTTTATTTTCAACCTCGTTCAGTCTCATTTTTATTTCCGTTATGGCCCCCTTGATAGATTCTTGACTTTGTTTAACTTCGTTAAGTGTAGCAATTATACCCGATTGAGCCTGATCCATCCTAAGGGAGCGCTCGTTAACGGCTGTCAGCATTGAGTGCATCTCGTTAAACAGTTTAAGTTGGGCCTCGTTCATCGGTCCGGGATTAGATTCCACGTCTCCGGAAGTTTTTAGTAGAAGGTACACCACATCAACTGAGTCACAAACAGTTTTTTGAAGCACTTGTGAGCACGGAAAGAGCAATAACCATATATCGCTAGTTTTTTTAGCGTATAACGAGGCAGGTGGACCAACCTGTACGAGCAAGATGACAAAATGAGTGGTCCGCATGGTTCGGCTGATCCCGTGCTCACTCAAGGGCTGAAGACGTTCCAAGCTGCCTATATGGGCGTTTGTAGGCGGCGTAGATGACAGTGTCGCTGACGATGCTCGGTTGATGTCGAGGGAACAAGGAGAGATTGCTTGCAGATTATCCCACAGATAGGTGGCAGCCTGCCGATGTCGAGGCGATCCAGCACGATGATCCGAGGAACCGCTCATGAGAACGGCGGCGTCACGGCTGGGCAGGGACGCAGGCACCGGAAACTGGAGGGCCGAAATCTGTACGAGCAAGATGACAAACTGAGTGGTCCGCATGGTTCGGCTGATCCCGTGCTCAATGCACGGGATCAGCCCATGTTCAACACACAAAATGCCCATGTTCAACACAAGTTGAACATGGGCATTTTCTGTATAACATACGATAAATTAGCGTGCTGCCGAACGCTGTCACAGCATTGAGGTAATAGGTAGCATATGCATAACGACGGCAGCACCGCCGGTTTTTGTCACACGGTTCCCTTTCTAGCGTTTGATAGCAATCTGGGATTGGTGTGAACATTCTAATGAGACTGCGATGCATATTTCACCGCCACTCTGCTGTACTCCATACATAAAGTGTTTACGTATGGTGACGGCTTCGCTGGAGTTGCCGTGTCCTCATTCGGTCTTTGTCTAAACTTTACCTCTATCCAAACCTGCCCTTGTTTCACCTGTAATTACCTGTATTTACTTATGTCTTAAATACTTTTTGTCGTTTCTTATTTATTTCGCAGCGGTTATGGGTGGGTCCGTGTGTAAACCTGCCATTGTGGAAAAGATAAGAACACGGATGAATGCAAAAGGTTTATACGTATGTAAACACCTTTTTCAACCGTCTCTTCACTAGGACATGCTTTACAGTTTTATTGGATTGCTACCTGATGCCTCGCAATGATGCGACCTTTCAGATCCTGTTCGGTGGCACCGAAACTAGTCCAGTCTTCAGCAGCACGAATCCTGATGAGCCAATGGATCTCTGGATTCGGACCGTTGGGACACCGCTGGACCATGTTGAGGTTGGTAAACAGGGGTCGCTGCCCACTTTTGACAAGGGACACCCCAGGAATAGTCAGTGCCATCCATATTTACTCGAATGTTTTGCTGCAGTTATCCACGTTTCCATAAGTTGTCGCGCTGTAGCATGCCTAAAAGAGGAGTTACTTTAGGTACTAAATTTCGGAAAGGCATAGAAAAACCACGGTTTCACTTGAAGTTTTTTTCACATGTGTCTCAGGCATTATGAGCAACAGCACAAGTGTGTAGTGACTCTGCATGTAGCGAAATATTTTTTTTTGCAACCATGCTAATTTGATAACCAAGTCATGAAGTTTCTGCTTCACCAAGCTGATCATAAGGAGAGCGATGAAACTTTTACCGGAGAGATTTGTAACCGCCACTTTTTGATTCGATTTTTGTGAGCTGTAATTGTGCACATGCCCATATAATGACATTTTCGCTCATAAACATGATTTCACAGTTTTTATGTAGCTGGCGTTTTTCGACATCGTACTAAGCATATTTCTCTTCTTTGATTATGTTTCCCGGTAAAATAGCGAACCTTCTAATTCCTAATTTTGAAAATATAGGCATGGTGATTTTGTCATTTCGAAATCTTTCTTTTCGTTAATCTAACTGTGATCTTTACAAGTTCCCTTTTGAACGGCTGATAATTCTATACCACAAGGCATGTCCCTGCCTTCATGACTCGCATAATATATTTATGTTTTATTCTAAGTTGTGTGTGTTTTAGTTTACAGGCAGAGATATACATGGATGATTAAAAACAAAAAAAGAGGTAAGGTAAACAAAATACAGTCATAGCTTGACGTAGTCTGCTTCTAAGCGAGACTCACACATAAGCAATAAACAAATTGCGTACGTTTCCGAGAAGCTACTCAAACAGCGTATCTTGTTTACGTAATTGGATTACCTGTATCCCGATGGGGTACTGCTTTGTCGGAGCTAAGCGTGTGTGCCTGTTTGCATCTGTGTATATGAGTGTTTTTTTTTTTTCGTTTGTCACTGTGTTACGGTGCCTGCGAACTTTGACGTCATATTTTGCATCCTATTCCGCGACGAAGTGCTCAAAAACGCGTCTTTGACGGAGTATAACAGGATGAGACGCATGCCCTCCAGATGGAAACATAAAGAACGCGTACGAAACGAGCGCTGAGGAAGAAAAAAAGGTCTCTGCATTATTGGGTGAGGTCGGGGGGAAACAAAAGAAGGGGGTACATCTGTTAAGTGAGCGGTCACACTAGGTGCGTCAAGAACAGACGAACTTGTACCCCGTTTTGCTTCCCGTGCCTCGAAAGTGGTTTCGAAAGGGTAAGCAATCGCATTACGGGAACCGATGCGTCATAGTCACAGCTATCCTAATTCAGGCGATAATTTGTTTTAACATATTGGCAGCGAAATTTAAGTTCAGCGCTATGATGCGTGGTATGTAGCAGTTTGTATCACTCTTTACTGTGTTTCTAGAAGACATGAAACAGTAGTATCGGCAGGTGGGGTTGATGAAGAGCCTAAAATTCCACAATTTAGCGGTGAAAGCGACCTGCTGAATACGTCATGTGATATCAATTTTCCCTCCATATTTAGCTGGAAAAATTAATTGGTGCGTACGTCCATCATGCCAGGTAACGTGACGTTTATACAAACACTATATTAGAAGGGGAAACTTACTCGGTGCGTAGGTCACATGATATCGATTTCCCGCCAAATCTAGCCGAGAAAGCGATTGGTGCAAAGGTGACGTGACGTCTTATCACGTGGTAAAGGTTCTAGCCGGTTTAGTGAGAAAATTATTTGGTGTTTATATCACTCGACTAGGGGTCACGTGGCCTTACTGTTTTTATCGAAGTTCGCGGGAAAACGGTACAAGTGCATAGGTCACTTAGAGTCAAGTCACGCGACATTAATTTTACCTTCAAATTTAGACGGGAAATTGAATTGGTGTGTATGAATCGTGAAGTTAAGTCACGTGACGAGAATTATTCTTCTAAATTTATTGTGGAATCTGAAATTGTGTACAGGGCTCATGACAGGTCACGGAACATCAATTTTCCTGCTGAATGTAGCTGGAAATTAAGCGTCGGAGGAACGGGTTGACGCATATAACTTGGGACTTTTGGGTTGGTGTGGGCTGAAAGCTACATTGCATATATTGCGGTGAACGTTGTAAGATCCGTTAAGTACGACTCGCATATGTGATTGGATGTACTGTTCCCGTGAATTGTTTGCTTTTTGCTTTAAGCTTGCATACTGAAGTTAGCTTGGTGACAGTGAGGTTTCAACATATTCGTTTCAGATACAAGGCTTGTTAATTTTTCTCACGAGGCACGTTATTTCTAACAAAATACGGGTTGTTAACTCCATGGGGAATTTTGTGTCGTATTCTTAGGTGTCTGATGAAGTGGCCCGCTTCTAGACGAGCGGATAAATGTGCTGCCGGTTTCATAGCGGTCGACAAAGACACACGATCACTGCGGAATACTTCCACGTATGGCAAAAAAGTTGATATCTGGAACAGCTAAAGAAACGTTTGATTCCATTTGCAAGGCGTGTTTTTACCATGCATCCTCGACAGAATAAAACATATTCAGACAGTGTTTTGACGTATATTATTTTTATCGCATCATCGTCTGCTCTGAAAGCTGTGGACTACGCTTTTACATTTTACATTCGTGGCTACGATGCCACAAATTTTGCATTCATGGCTACGATGCCATCCGCAGCTGTAGACCAAACATGTAAAGGCTGTTAAAAAAACAACTAAATTAAGTTACTTTTTATGCTCGTTTTTACGTAAATAACCCTATTAAAAAAGGTCCGGCTCCTCGTGGAGAATTACTAATTTCCCAATTTATGAAATATATAAGACATATGTAGGCACATTTTAGATTAGGTTTGTCTTTCAATATCAAGACGTACCTGTTTCAAACGCTAAAAGCATCGCTTCTTCTTCCGAAAATCAAGTCTTGTAAGAACTACTTCGCGTGGCGTATGAACAATGCGCAAAACTCCCTATTTGCTTGAGGTTAAAACGTGTACGGAATCAGCGTTTAACGTAATTTTGAGTCGAGTAAAATGTAAAGAATAGCAATAGTCAAAAACCAAATTACTAACAACCGTAATAATGTAGCGACATACTTACAATTTATATTTATTTTACTTATTATGGCAGGGAAAATAACCTGAATATTCATTTGGCAACAAAGCCCCGTTAGCCTAACAATTTGCTTCATATTAGCGCACAGAGTCAATTCACTCAAAACTCTTGTCTCACAATGAGCCCAATTTTCTCCCGAAGACATATCCTGCTAGCTTAAAATGGCCTTCTAACGAGGCAATAAATTGGATGAAAACAATGAACATAAAAACACATTTTGCATGGTTGACTATTTGAATTGGCCTATATTGGAGAAGTGCCGTTCTTCATTTGGAAGTTTCGCTATGCTTGAGTTAGGGACTCCAGCCACTTTGTTCGCTTGTTTATATTAATTTATTATGGAGGAGGTTTGTGGAAGTTTTAATGTCTCTTGAATATTTTCAATATTTAAAAACTTCTGGTTTGTGGAAAGAAAAGGCAACCCAAAGGAATAACAGGGCTCCTACGCGAAGGTGCAGGGTTGCTCTCTCCGATTTTTTCTCTTTCCTCGCTACTGCCCGAATATTTGTGAGTTGTGATTTGGAACTTCGAACTTTGAAGACAAAATGCTAAAAAAGAACTTCGTCCTTATTTGTGTTGTTCACAAAGCAACACAACAACCTCAAACTCAACTAAAAAAATATTAAAAAAAATATGACCAGCGTCAGAACGCGAGTTTAATTTTATCATCTGGTGTGGGTGGTATGCCTGTGTTTAATGTGAGCGAATTCCTATGAGAAAAAGGCCTTCATTCAAATAACCCGAGTTTTTGTCTCCATCCGGGATCTAAGCGCCACAGGAACTCTACACTGCGGCGCAAACGCCCAGCTCACGAACACTAAAGTCGGTGGCGTTTTAATTCTTCAGGGAAACCTCTTTCCTACTTATTTCCACTTTAGCAGAGCGAGCGCTGGAGAGGATGTCGCCTATTTTCCGATGTTTGCTTTGATAAGTTGCGAATGGGTGAGAGGTGCTTCCCCCGAACTCTCAACCTGTTACTGACTGTTCTTTCCTGGCTACCTGTTTCCTGTAATTTTGAGGTGCATTTATGGCGCAGTCAAGCTTCTTTCTGCTTATTAGTCAGCACCACTTGCGAGCCTCCGAGGCACCTTCACTTTCGCGTCGCGTTTCGACAGACATTGAGGGAATTTCCGCCGGGTGGCAACAATACGCAGGCAAAGTACCGCTCAGAATGTATAGCTTGTCTGAATAGTCTTTATTTGTGGCTTCCTCACTCTAGGGACCTTGATGCTCAAGTGTTTTCTGATGAGAAATCCTATAGTTAGATTTTGAACGAATACTGTGATTTAAGTTTACTTTAGACTCTTTTTCGGAGTAGCTTCTACTCCGAAAAAGAGTTTAAAGTAAACTACAACTTACGAAAATAGGATTGTGATTAAAATTAATTAAATTATAAGATGCTGCCGTTGCTTCAATAGAGTAGTTTATGTACGGAAAACTCCTGCGCAGTAAGTCCTTCAAAATAAAATTCACTAAACAGATGACGCCTTCTATCGATGCAGGTGAAGGTTGTGGACGCCGAAGGCAGGATTGTTCCCGTGAACACGGGGGGAGAGCTGTGCACCCGAGGTCCCCACGTCTTCAAGGGCTATCTTAACGATGAGGCCAAGACAAATGAAGCCATTCGGGACAACTGGTACCACACGGGGTAAGGAAAGCAGCAACGTCAGTTTTAGTGTCCGCAGCTGTGACGAACGCTTCCACACTGCAAAAGAAGAAAATACACATAGTTAGCAAGGTGTAGCTTTTTTTATGCTTTATGCTGAAAAATAATGCGCGAATCAAGAGAGCCAGGTAACGTACTGAATATAAGACATATCTTTGTTCGCGAAGAAGATTGGCGAATGCACTGACGGACGCGGGAAATCTCTGCAACATTTCGGTTTAGCAACATCAATTTTTTATATCTAAGATGTGGCCAAATTAATCAAAAGTAAAGAAAGCGTAATAATCCTCAGAAAATGAACGGCTCAGTAAAGCTACATATATCGTAAGCGATTGTGTATTATGATTGTGGAACTTTACAATTTGCCGCAGTCGACAGGATAGCATTATGTGCATTACCCTCACGGCACGAGGCAAAGCTCAAGTTGTGCAGATCTTCTCGTGTGGCAAGCCGAAAGAAGAAGAGGCGTTCCCGCTACTGGGTCGGGTCATTGCTCCAGACTTCAATCAACACGTTTGTGAAAATTCAGGAATGTATATTAATGCTATCTTACGGAAGAAGACGTTAAAGATCAACGTAAGGGTCGCAGATTCCGACGCCTCGATTAGGGACCCTATAGAGGCGGGCCGAAACCTTCATTGAGGATATCTTTTAAACCCACCCAAGAAATTATCCTAGTCAGTTCACAATACAATTTACAAGCCAGTACGCAAGGTGACTTCCCAGTCGGTGTTTAAAGCGAGTTATCAAGCGCTCCCTAAGCCGGCTTTACGGCAGGTCCTCAAGGCAAAGTTCACGCCGACTTCACTCTTTGAAATCTTCAGAGTGCACCAAAGGAAAACTTCTCAAGCAGTCCCGACAGCGGTTTCCCCACTGGTCCTCAGGCAACTTCCAAGACGGCTCTGCTCTTAAAAGAACTCAGAGCGCAGGTGGTGCCAGCCCCGTAGACCCTAACTACTTGGTGTACCAGATCCTACATGCGCAAGAACAACTCATAACACACAAAAAAAAAGATTCTTCAGGCTTTTGTGGGACTTTCAAGAAGCCAGCAATATTCACGCTTTTGAATTGGGAAGCCTGAACTATTTTATGGCCAGTCAACGAACTCCGACGCGTGGCTGTCTTTCTGTGAGTATGCCTGCCAGATAAGCGGCTGGCACTCTAATGACGACCGAGTTAAAATAAATGCGACGTTTTCTCACTTAGATGGCGATAAAGTGGTGTGAACTGTACTTAACTGACCATCTCAATGACTCTTGGGAGAAGTGCAAAAAAGGGTTTTCCAACTGTGTTTTTAGAAAATACCGTGGACAAGTGGGATATGCGATATTCTGCAGATGCCGGATAGGAAAGGTCATGTAATACTTCTATGAAAATAATGCTGTTCTAGCTAGCAGACTACTCCCTACCAAATTCATCTGTAGCACCTCTAGTCATTCACAGACTTCCCAATGACCTACAAAAACAGGTCCACGTGAAAGCGCCCAAGACTGCTAAATATCATGTGTATTACTTTTAACATCTGCGCTTAGATGTACGGCCCCGGGTATTACAGAAGCCTGTAGAAGGAACAGGCGAATCCCAGAGATAGGCAAACTTTTGCCAAGTCTCCCCAAAAGCAATCTCCGACAAACTTAGTAAAGTTTGAAGAGGGTGGATCACCTGATGCACATGCACCCGAAAAAAAAAAAAAAAGAACGCATAGACGAGGGCGTACGGTCCCGCCCAGTGATAACCAAAGGGACTGCCTGCTTGTCACAGTCATCACTTTTGCACATAGATGTAAATGGAATAAATAGTCTTAAAAGCTCTTGTCGACAGCGGCGAGTCTTTGAGAATAGTCAGCCAAGAGGCCGTTTAGTATTAAAAGCCTTTTGAGGATCGTACAATCAATTTATTTATTCAGATACCTACAGCGCCATGGGGCATTACAGTAGGGGGGGGGGAGAAGTTGCAAATGAGGAACACAAATAGTTATACAAAAGTTAAAAGAGCAATATTCACAAGCCATAAATCTTTCAGTATAACAACAAAGTGCAGGCTACATAAAAAAATAAAAATGCGGTCTACTAAACACTAGGAACGCTACTCAACAACTAACTAGACACTACGAGGTTAGTGTTGAATAAAACATATCGTTAGGAACAATGTTGACCACCTAGGCTGGCAAATCGTTCCAATCCCGTATTGTTTTAGGAAAAACAGAGTTCATATAGACGTCACTTTTACAGCGGAATTCCCTGACCTTATACACATGATCCTTTCGTTGCGATATGTAATCTGGCCGGTGAAGGTAGGCATTTCTATCTATCCCAGTTCTACAGTGAAATATGTTATTAAAAAATTTCAGTCGAAGGTTCTTCCTTCTAAAGCTTAACTCCTTCCATCCTAGGCTCTGTTTCGCACGAGTCATACTAAGGCGCCTGTCGTAATTGTTTAAAACAAAACGGGCAGCCCGGTTTTGTACTTTTTCAAGTTTGATTATCTGGACAGCAGTGTGAGGATCCCATATAGTGCAGGCATATTCTAAAATTCAGCGGACATGCGAAAAATAAAGTCTTTTTTTCAAGGAACGTGGTACAGGCTTAAAATTACGAGCGAGAAGGCCAAGCATTCTCGAGGCTTTAGAGACAGTATAGTCAATGTGCTTATTCCAACTTAGGGTCGAGGTTAGGAATACACCAAGATATTTGTATTCGTAGGCAACAGTGAGTGGCTCGTCATTAATGGTATAAGTACTGAGGGACGAACACGCCGTCTCGTAAATGGGATGTGGACAGTTTTCTTAAAATTAATATTCATTTCCCACAGTTTCCACCAATCGGTAATTGCATTTATGTCTGCCTGTAGAATGTCGACGTCATCACTCGCTCGTATTTTTCGATAAACAACACAATCGTCTGCAAAGAGACGCATTGGTGATGACACAACACCCACGATATCATTCAAGTACAGCATAAACAACAGCGGCCCAAGGACGGACCCTTGCGGGACTCTTGATGTCACGTCAGCAAATTCCGACTGGCAACCATTTAGCACAACATATTGTTTACGGAGAGACAAATATTCGCGTATTCAATATACCACTTTCTTATCAATTTTATAACCGTGAATTTTCGCAATTAACAAGTCATGGGAGACAACATCAAACGCCTTGCTGAAATCAAGAAAAATGCAGTCAACGCTATCACGGCCATCAAGAGCACCTGCCAATTTATGTACAAACTCTGTTAGCTGTGTCACACACGAGTAGCCTTGATGAAAGCCGTGCTGGGAGGAATGTAGTATTCCCGAGGCATTTACATGATGGATTATGCCTGTATATAAAACGTGCTCAATTACCTTACAAGCGATGCTAGTTAGTGAAATCGGACGGTAATTTGTGACCCCGTTCCTTGGGACACCCTTGTGTATCGGGACCACCCGACCAAGCTTCCAATCTGACGGCAATGATGATGTATCAAAAGATTTTTCAAAAAGAACATAAAAATACAGGCAGACTACACCAGAGCATGACCTAAGAATACAAGGAGAAATGTTGTCGGGGCCTGTTGCCTTGCTTACATCAAGTTCATTTAAAAGCTTTCTAATCCCTTCCACTTGGAGTGTGATCGGAGGCATCTCATTAGTCACAAAGGGCGCATCGAGAGAAACAGCCCGCTGTGCAGGTGGGTTAAACACGGAATAAGAAAATGAATTCAAAAGCTGGGCCTTATCGGTATCACTTTGTACAACACTGTCATCGTGATTAAGCGGCGGAACGGAGATATCACTTTTGGCATTGCTGCTCACGTATCTCCAGAACTCCTTTAGATTATTCTTCACCCTCTCTTCAAATGCCTGGAAATATTGTTGTTTGGCTGTGTGAATGCTGGTTTTTACGTGTGCAGTTAGCTCGCTCAGCTTGGCAAGATGGGCTGCAAGTTGAGTGCTACGGTACTTGAGGAACGCCCTTCGCTTCTTTTGAATAAGGCTACGGAGCTGGCGAGATACCCAAGGTTTGTCACGTGCACGCTTCGAAGTAAGCATAGCAGAAGGAACAAAGCAGTTCGTTAATTCAGTTATTTTGTTCTTAAAACACGCCAGAGATCCTCGATACTCAGTTCCTCAGCCAACGTTTCAAAGGTTGGAAAATACGAATCAAGTACAGCTGACATGCTATCATAATCTGCTTTGTTGAATAAAAACACCTTCCGCGGTTTTGACCGACCGACATTGGTATTTGCAAGGTTAACATCTGCCACAACTACTTTATGATCGCTGATGCCAGTGATGACTTGCGTATTTGAGATAATGTCTGGCGTATTGGATAAAAGTTAATCTAGAATGTGGCCTGTTTTATCGTCTCGCGTTGGCTCAAGAACGTGCTGTTCAAGTGAACACAGGTCCATAAGAGTGAAAAACTCGTTGTATAATTCTCCTCCTGCACCAGTCCTGTGATCGTTCGCCTTCCAGTTAATTGCAGGTAGATTAAAGTCACCTCCAATTATAATTTTAGCGCATCTAATAGTAGAAACAATTTCAGACAGCGAACTTAAAACGCTCGGCTGTGTACCTGGTGGCCTGTAAAAGGCACCAACGGCCAGCCGTTCACCATTACCCAAGGAAAGTTCGCACCAAACGTTTTCAACGTTTTCAGTTTCGATCGGCATTTCTTTGGAAACAATACTTTCATGAACAAGAATAAAAACACCCCCTCCGTGGAAATTTCTATCTTTTCTATAACATAAGTAATTGTCAGGGAAAACCTCTCGATCGAGAACGTTTTCGTCCAGCCACGACTCCGTCCCGATTACAACCTGTGACTGAGTCATGTTTACAAGCTGCCGTAGCTCATCTACTTTATTTTTCACACTTCTACAGTTGACAAGGGTTATGTTTATTGGACATTATTTGCGGTTATTAGGTAGTCAATGCTGAATCACCAGCTTTGCCTCATCATCCCAAGTGAATTTGACCCCGTCCAGGAGCAAGCAGTCATG